AGGCGAGGGTGGGATGTTTCAAGAGAACAGCATCGAAACACGTATATTATCTAGGGTGAAACAGTTCACCAGCCCAGGTTGGGTGCATGAGACAAGTGCTCGGGCCTGGTGCACTGGGAAGACCCAGAGGGATCGGGAGGAGAGGGAGGTGGGAGGGGGTACCGGGATGGGGAATACATGTAAATCCATGGCTAATTCATTTCAATGTATGACAAAACCCACTGCAATGATGTAAAGTAATTAGCCTCCAACTAATAAAAATAAATGAAAAAAAAAAAAGAGCCTCTTGATGAAAGTAAAAGAGGACAGTGAAAAAGTTGGCTTAAAACTCGGAACATTCAGAAAACTAAGATGATGGCATCCGGTCCTATCACTTCATGGGAAATAGATGAGGAAGCACTGGAAACAGTGAGAGACTTTATTTTCTTGGACTCAAAAATCACTGCAGATGGTGACTGAAGCCATGAAATGAAAAGACGCTTGCTCCTTGGAAGAAAAGCTATGACCAACCTAGACAGCATATTAAAAAGCAGAGACATTACTTTACCAACAACGGTCCATCTAGTCAAAGCTATGGCTTTCCCAGTAGTCATGTATGGATGTCAGAGTTGGACTATAAAGAAAGCTGAGCGCTGAAGAATTGATGCTTTTGAACTGTGGTATTGGAGAAGACTCTTGAGAGTCCCTTGGACTGCAAGGAGATCCAACCAATAAATCCTAAAGAAAATCAGTCCTGAATATTCACTGGAAGGACTGATGCTGAAGTTGAAACTCCAATACTTTGGCCACCTGATGCAAAGCACAGACTCATTGGAAAAGACCCTGATGCTGTTTAAGATTGAAGGAAGGAGAAGGGGACGACAGCGGATGAGATGGTTGGATGGCATCACTGACTGAATGGACATGAGTTTGAGCAAACTCTGGGAGCTGGTGATGGACAGGCAGGCTTGGTGTGCTGCAGTCCACAGGATCTCAAAGAGTCAGACATGACTGAGGGACTGAACTGAACTGAAGTGAAGCCTTTTCTTGTGTAAGGATGCGTATGAGGATTTCTGTGCTTCCACCACATGCCCAAGTGGAAACCAAGTCTACATCCTCTATTCCATTTTTTTTCTCATTATTTTCTCACTTCTTCTTGTGCACTCATTCAATTTCTCTTTTCTGGCTTCTTAAGTTAAATCTTTATTTAATTTCCAGGATCTCTTCCTACCTAATATAAGTATTTTTTGGTAACTATTGCATCAATGTCTAAGTACTGTTTTGGTGTATCCCATAAATTGATGAATCACTTTTTTTTTTTACCTGAAATACAAATCCTCTTAACACGTCCCTGCTTCAACGAGGAACCTACTCCAACCCAACTACCTATACATATTTCTGAAATCCAACTCTGACTGTGTCTTCTTCTGTTAAATGACGAGGCATAACTATCAATCTTTATTAGTTTTCGACAAGCAGACCTTTAAAAACTGTCTTCAGCTGCATCTTCTGCCTTCTCCTCCATTCTTACTCAACGTTTGGCACAACCTAGCACAGCACTATGAAAGACAACTTTCTGCTGTGGTGGTGATTTTCCACATCTGCACTGCCCAGTATAGTAGTCACTTGTCTTAAAATGTGGCTAGTAAAAAAAAAAAAGCACAGAAACAGAATTTCAAATCTTATTTAATTTCATTAATTTAAGTATAAAATTTCTCTTGTGCATACTGATCGCCATGCTGGATGATTCAGCTTTACACAGACAGAGCTTGTCTTTCACTAGGAATACTAAGTGGAGTATGCAGTCTGATTTAAGTCTTCTAAGTAAGAAAATGTTATTTTCTGATTTATACCCCAAAATTGATGAAAACCTTTAAAGTTTTACTTATGGGATTAATGCTTTGATATTTACTGAATTAGAAAGGAAACTGAAAAACTTTTTAAAATACATGACTTCATAATCATGGATTCCACTAGCTGTAAGAATGATAACATCATCATGTCAGGCAGCCTCTGAAAAAACCCACTGTACATTCACAAAAGAATGAGACTAAAAGAGGCAAGTAATGTGTTAGTATTATCCTGGAAATGGCTTGTCCTCATAGACTTTCCTGAAAGGGTCTTGAATCGCCCCACAGCTCCCTGTACTCTGAGCTCTTCCTCCAGGAGGAAGACAGCACTCCATGACATTCGAGCTGGAATGAGCACAAGGTAAATAGATGTTTCCTAGGTTTGGTAAATGCTTCTTTATTCATTCACTTTCCAAATCAAATTTTAGTTCCCAAAGGAAATTATTTAAAAAGAGAGGCACAAATTACTCTATAAAGAATTCTAGTAGGAGTTCATTACCATGTAAAGCAATGGGTTTAGAAATGAAAATATATAGCCAAGAGATATTAAGTCTGTGGCTATATGGTTGACCAGATTGACTGTTAATTAGGTCAACTGTCTAAAGGATAACAGAATTACCTCTTAGCTGATAAATTTGGTCATTGAAACAACCAAAGTAATTCTACTGCAAGTGGTCAAAGAATTTTAGAAAGCAAAATATTCTGAGAGTCACAAAACCTTTTCTCTTAAATGTCCTATATCTTCTGTGCTGGTACAGGAAAAAATAAAATCCTGAAAGATGTACACTCAAAACAGATTAAAACAAGCTCCTAAGATTTTATACCACTTAAAAAAAACAATATATGAGCATAAACTCTAAAAGAAAGTAACTTAGCATTGAAATGCCTAAATTAAGAAAACTAATTAGAGTATTTTAAAACCAGGAAACAGCAGATAATGACATAGCAAAGGAAACTATCAAATGAGCCCAGGGATGCCCCAAAGGCCCTCCTTAGTTTTCCTCTAGGGTGGATGTCATCCCATATGATGGTGGCACTGAGTCAGTTAAAGAAAATGAGAACACAGCTGAGCTTTCAAAAGCACATGGAAAGATCCTCTGGATATGTGTGCTCCTTAAAACTAAGCAGTCATTATTTATTCAAAATTGAGAGTGTAAATTTAAAAAAAAATTTTAAACTATATATGGAATAATATTTTTCACATCTTACATGATAATTGAAGGAATACCTGAACTATTTTTCACATATTCTCTACATAGTAAGTAAATAGCTGGGGCAAATTCCACCACCTTTAACCTACAAATGGGAAACTGAATTCTGGAATGGCAGACCCAGAGAGGATCATCTATACAGCTGTACAACCTAGACATCTCAGAGTCACCAAAATCCCCTCTCTCACATACCCCTGCCTTAACTCACCACATCTCACGTCTCACTGGCACTGACTCATATCCTGTACAAATACCTCAGGTGTCCAGGGGCTTCCAGATCCTCCCTTCTAACTCATACTCCACAGTGTTAAAAAAGTCATCTGCAAACCCCAACCTGCTCCAGTTGTGACTCTGCTTAAAACCTTTGAATGGAACCCTATCATTTTCAGGATAAAGTCCAAGTGCCAAAAGATACGGATGGGAGTGAGCACTTGTCTACTGTCTGTCTATACACAAGCCTACACCTATGTCTGCGTGTGTGTGTACATGTGGGTCTCTGCCTGCATGTCTCCCATATGTGTGACTATGTACATCTATCTACATCTGTGTGCACGATATATAAAATGCACAACAGAATCAAGACAAGGGAGTAAATCTTAACATTCCACAGCAAGTTGACAGCACATATGTATGTGCCACCCTTCTCATTAATCTGAAAGGGGCCTCTGAGATGCCTGAATAAAGTAAGACGAGCTCTTGGTATGTGCTAGGATAAAACTACCTGTGAAAACACAGAACGTAAATTTGGTTACAAACCCCTGCCTTCATCCCACCCCCACACATTGTCCCAAGGCATCAGGCCTGAGACAGCCAAGAAGGCAAAAGGAGCAGCAGTGAAGCTGCACTGGCCTTCTTCCTAGTTTCTCCAGTCCATTCTTCTTGCTTCTGCACATAAAGATTCCTGATGCCATAAAGTCCATCTTATGCCATCTTCCCATCTAGAAAGGAGAGCTGGGCCAGGAAGTCAAGCACACAGCTCCTGAGCTTGGTGGGAAGGGTGGCAGCTTATCCTTCAAGTCCCCAATAAGGGAAAGACTCACAACACTGAGAGGCTCACAGGGCTGATCACCTGCCTCCATGTGAAGTGGCTGAGCTACTTCACTTTTTGCAGCCTCAGCTTCCTCTTCTGCAGCACAAAACAGCCATAAGTATGTCACCTTTCTGTTATAAAAACCAACTGAGGTAACACCATTGCAAGTACTTGAAAATATAAAGTGATATATAAATGTTATAGTTTGGACTGTCATCATCAGCAATCCACATGTACCCTGAACTGGTGTCCCAGCAACAACACTTATCATTTTCTTTAAAAAAAATTACAGTTAAGAAATCAGTAAAAAAAAAAACAACTGGAATCCAGATAATAGTGGAAAAAATAAGAGTTAAACATTAATCACAATACAACTTTCCTGATGCTAAATTAATGGAAGAAATTTAAGCCTGTCAAGCCCAGATGACTGCTCTAAAGCAGAATTATGAAGAGAGCATTTTTATATGCAGCGTCATAAAACACAAAGGAAATAAACAACACACAAATTATTAAGAATTTTATTTCTTTTTTGAAAATTCTACTTGAAAAACAAATCACTGAAGTTAAAAGAGAAGGAAAAAATACTAGCAACCAAGATAGGAAAAGTAAAACCAAGCTTTTTGAAACCAGTGTTAAACTTTGTAACACCTAAAAATTGAGCAAAATTTGGCTTACAAAAGGTTACTACATTTAAATTATTGTAATATTCTAAATAATGGACACTATCTTAAAAATATAAAAAGAGTTACTTTTTACTGAATTTTATTGTGTGCCCTGGAGGGTGTATCCATGTCTGAGGTAAGAGGTCATTTGCACATCACAACCAACCACAAACACACCCGAACACACTGCTGTGCATTCACACAGCTTCTGCAGACATGTGTCCACTCATGTGTTTCACCACCACCCACATTACATCTGGCACCTTACCCGACCGGTAGCGCTCATCTCGTGACCCTGAGGACCTTCGGCGGTGATAGCGAGAGGCAGAGGAAGGAGTGACCGGAGCCCGGCGCTCTGGAGGCAAAGCTTGATCCACCCCTGGGTTAAGGAAGACAGCAAAGTAAGGTGAGGTGACTGGCAGATGGAGTTCACCAACTTTGCCAAGCAAGTCATCTGGCGGAATAAAGCCCTGACTCTCTGTTTTCCCACGGCCAAGCTAAAGCACACAGGGGAGTGGGCATGGAAGGCTGCGACAACCCAGGTGAGGAACAGGAAAGGAAGCACCAGTCCAGGCTCCTTCCTGTCACAAATGCCTGTTATGTGCACGTGAAGTGATGCAGAGTAAGCCATAGCAACAATTTTTAAAATTATAATTATCATTAAATTAAAAGTAACTGTAAATAAGTCTTGCAGAGTATTTTTATAATCCAGGTTGCCAGGACTGAACATAAAATTTCATCTTTCTTCATTCAAAATTTTAAACTCTGGCAACCTTACTCCACTTGATGCTAAACAAGTGAACAAGCCATATTTCAATATAGCTTTGAAGAATTACCAAAACTGTTAAAATCATCAAATAAAAATAATTCAGTTTCTGGCCAAAAGCTGGCCTAACTCTGGCCAACGTGATAGCTATTCAGAAACAGAGTAGCCAAAGGTACAATCCAGAGAAAATTACTAGGTACTATGAGATTTAATTACCACAGTTCAGAATAAGGAAATGCTGAGCATTAAAGATTAACTGCTGCTTCTTCAGAAAAGGGCCAGTAATACTTGACAGAAAGTGAATCAGAAAAAGCAATCTTAACCCAAAACTGTCTAGTCCCTGGTTTACCATGATGGCTCCACAAGAGCTAGCTACTCATCCTTGAGGTTTAATGTTCCTCTTACACTGGAGATTTCTGCACCTCATTTTTTCACAGAATGTCTGTGGACCCCACATATTACATTTGCTATGTTAGAACTGCACAAGAGTACACCGTACACTGCAGCTCTGTGCTAGGTTCCATGAGCCTTCACCTACCAAGTGTGTTAATGTCACTGTCATTAATTAACAGTTCTTGTCACTGAACCATTCAGAACTCCAAGTTTTTCTCAAGTTATTGCTAGAAATGATCTTTGAAAAAATTACTTTGTGAAAGAATTACTTTATATTTTTTATCAGACAGATGCACATGATTTATGAAATCAAAGAGTACTATTAAGTCTCATAGAAAAATAATAGTTACCTGGCGCTTACATTATTGAACCTTAGAATTCTAAGCAACATTATTCATATAGTTAAAATTTTTAAAATTTATTTGTATAGATGTATTTATTTGAAAATTATGTATAATCATTGCCTTTCATGCCAGTTACTATTGAGAAGGTAAATTATTTTATCTTTAATTGGAGGATAATTGCTTTACAATGTTGTGTTGGTTTCTGTCATACATTAACATGAATCAGCCATAGGTATACATACGTCCCATCCCTCTTGAACCTCCCTCCCATCTCTCACCCCATCCCACCATCCCTCTAGACTGTCAGAGAGCGGGTTGAGCTACCTGCATGATACAGCAAATTCTCACTGGCTATCTATTTTACATATGGTAGTGTATATATGTCAAAACTACTCTCTCAATTTGTCCCACCTTCTCCTTCCCACTCTGTGTCCACAAGTCTGTTCTTTATGTCTGCATCTCTATTACTGCCCTGCAAATAGGGTTAGGGTTAGGGATAATCATTGTCTTTCATGCTAATCATTGTCAAGAAGTTAAATTATTAAATGTGAATCTGATGCTATAATCTTTATGTAAATCTGTTTATTTTTTTCTTCTATCCTCTGTCACCTTTTACACCTTTTTTTACATAAGGAGCTGCAAGCAAGCATTATGTTCTGCAGCAGAGGCATTACCAGATCTATTTCCAGCAGGTCTTTTACCCAGGCTATTCCATTTGCCCAAATAAGAAAGGTCCAGTCTCTTGCCTGTGACTAAGCACAGTGTTCATCACCAAGGTGGAGCTGTTCTCCCTCTCCAGAACTGTGCTCTGATTTAGGGCCTCTGGTACAGTATTGCCTGGTGTCCCTGACTCTGGAGGCTCTTTGTTCCCTTTCTCCAGACAGCAAACTTCTCTGCAGGAACGCAGAAGGAGTGATCGCCTATTGCGTAGAAGCCATACCTACCCACAATGCCCACCATCATGGTTTCATCAGCTCATTCACCTGCTGCCTTCCTCGCTGTGGCTAAATACGGTACCTCTAATCATCAACCATAGAGCCTAAAAACACGTCATTATTTCTCCATTCTCTTGTCCTAGACATTCATACTTTATCCATTTACTGACATCACAGGGCAGTTCTGGGAAGAGGCAGAGCTAACGCACACTGTCAAGCTGCCAAGATTAAACAGTGCCTCACACACACGCACACATTTAGCTTCCAATCTCAGTACTGTTACCCATCAACTCCTTTCAAATATGTTTCCTGAAATTAGTTTCAACCTTGACCCTTCCAGGTCCATAGGTGGCCATATCTCTCCTCTGGGAAGTGCAGTCACAGCACTTGCAGACCAGCTATCAGTTCAGTCGCTCAGTCATGTCCGACTCTTTGCGACCCCATGGACTGCAATGCATCAGGCTTCCTTGTCCATCACCAACTCCCACAGCTTGCCCAAATTCATATCCATTGAGTCCATGATGCTATCCAACCATCTCATCCTCTGTCGTCCCGTTCTCATCCTGCCTTCAATCTTTCCTAGCATCAGGGTCTTTTCCAATGAGTCAGTTCTTCATAACAGGCATCCTAAGGATGGAAACTTCAGCTTCAGCATCAGTCCTTCCAATGAATATTCAGGACTGATTTCCTTTAGGATTGACTGGTTGGCTCTCCTTGCAGTCCAAGGGACTCTCAAGAGTCTTCTCCAACACCATAGTTCAAAAGCATCAATTCTTTGGTGATCAGCTTTCTTTATGGTCCAACTTTCACACCTGTACATGAACTTCTGAAAAAACCATAGCTTTGATTAGACAGACCTTTGTTGGTAAAGTAATGCCTCTGCTTTTTAATATGCTGTCCAGCTTTGGCATAGCTGTTCCTTCTCTTCCAAGGAACAAGCATCTTTTAATTTCATGGCCTCAATCACCATCTGCAGTGATTTTGGAGCCCAAGAAAATAAAGTCTCTCACTGTTTCCAGTGCTTTCCCATCTATTTGCCATGAACTGATGGGACCAGATGCCATGATCTTAGTTTTCTGAATGTTGAGTTTTAAGCCAACTTTTTCACTCTCCTCTTTCACTTTCATCAAGAGGCTCTTCAGTTCCTCTTCACTTTCTACCATAAGGGTGCTGTTATCTGCATATCTGAGGTTATTGATATTTCTCCCAGCAATCTTGATTTCAGCTTGTGCTTCATCCAGCCTGGCATTTCGCATGGTGTACTCTGCACATAAGTTAAATAATCAGGGTGACAATATACAGTCCTGACATACTCCTTTCCCGATTTGGAGCCAGTCTGTTGTTCCATGTCCAGTTCTAACTGTTGCTTCTTGACCTGCATACAGATTTCTCAGAAGGCAGGTCAGGTGGTCTGGTGCTCCCATCTCTTGAAGAATTTTCCACAGTTTGTTGTGATCCACACAGTCAAAAGCTTTATCGTAGTCAATGAAGCAGAAGTAGATGTTTTTCTGAAATTCTCTTGCTTTTTCTATGATCCAGTGGATGTTGGCAATTTGATTTCTGGTTCCTCTGCCTTTTCGAAATCAGACCAGCTATACAACATGTAACTTAGGGCTCACCTGCTATGGACCCTACACTTCTGTCTTCAGAAAGCTAAGTTTGCATATAGCATTGTGAATATTTACTCTCAAAGGCAGAAAAATAAGAGTTTACAACCCAAGGTTTTAAAAGTTTTTAAAAGAAAATGAATAAATTAGACAATATGAGAATAGCTTCAATAAGTCACCAGCTTCAGGACATTAAAAGACATTAAAATATAAGTGTGCATATTTCAAATATTGGTTTTTACCTGACCTCACTGTGAATGAAATTTGAGGTAGCTTAAACATACTTCAGTCAAATAAGCAACTCCAAATTAGAATGACCTGGTACACAGGAGAACGTGGGGCAGTAACCAAAGTATCTTGCCTGTGACCCATCGTAAGAGGAGCTGACCACATGCTCCTGGTGGGATGGGCTGTCTCCCAGCAAGAGTAATCACAAATAATCAGTAAAACACATAGTTATAGCCCAGTATTCAGCACTGCTGAGGTCTCACGCTCAGGCATCCCTGAAACCTAGCTCTCAGGACAGCCCAAGATGGCCAGTATGCCTTCGATAGAAGGGAGAAGTCCCAAGGAAGGTGGGGTAACTGTCCAGAAACACACAACGCAAGGTGGATAACAAAAAAAAATTCTTCCCAGGTAAAAACATGACAGAGATCAAGACTGGATCTCTTCTCCCACAAACACTGATCAAGCACCACTTGCTTCAGATCCCAAATGAACTGAGGGCAATGCATCTGGACAATGCCATGCTCTGAAGATGGTGCCCCAACCTGCTGCTGGCACAGTCTGTGACCCTGGGCCTCAGTTTCCCATCTTTAGGCAGCACTGACAGGTACAGCCAATGCTTTACAGCACTGGTGTAAGCACTGTATATTTACTAAATTATTAACACAGTTGTATGAGACAGGCTTCTGCCATTTCACTGGGAGCAATCGAAGGCCCAGAACTGTGTCTGTGCCACTCCAGCAGTGCCCATCCATATGTGATGGGCACCCCTTCCTGGTGCACTCAAAGCCAGGCAGAGGCCAGGGCCCTGAAGCAGAGGCTCCCTTCTGTTCAGTGCTGCACTCCAGATGCAGTGGTCACTTGTCACACAGACCAAGTCCAGCTGGTACTCTGCATCTGGGAAGAGGTATTTTTGTGATCTCACCACAAAACTACTGTTCAACCAGCAGTCTTATAAAGAGAGATGGGAACTACCACAATTCCAGACTGCTACCCAGTAACAAACTTAGAGCAGCTGAAAGCTGCTGAGGTTGTGTGACTAAGGTGTGTGCATGGATCCTCACTTTGGACACATTAAGGGACTCTTAACAGGCACGTTAAGAGTCCAG